TTATAGCCAGTTTTCCTGGTTAACCAGGAACTAGACCAGGTTAGCCAGGACTTGCATAATGGCCTCGAACTCGGAAGGGGCACGAGGACTGATCCGCCCTCCAGCTCGAGTCAGACTCGGGCTGGCCCGCCCTCCAGATAGAGGCATACTAGGGTTGGTCCGCCCGAATTGAAAGGAGCCTTACCACTTCCATGGACTTGATGGGGTTGGGGAAGTTTAGCCCCCTCTTGGCCGAAGGGATGACGTCCGACATGAGGACCTTCCCCCCGACCTCGATGTCCACTCGGGGCTTCTCCACCGTGCTCCAGTGGATCCGGCGCAGCTCCCGGAGGCCCCAGAAGAGGACGTCGATTCTGGAATTGCAAGGGTGGAATTTGACACGGTCGGGATTGCGAGACCTAATCTGATGCTGAATCCGAGGATAGACCTGAATTTGGCGAGCGTGGGTCGAACTTCGTAAGGGATGGGATAGACCGGCTCCAAACTCGTATCCAGGAATTCCGGCTTCGCCGCCGGGAGATCCGGCAGAGGATCGTTATTTGACGTCACCTGCAAAACAGTTACAATCCGTGTTCAAGTTTTTTTCGAATCTAATATTATTACAAATTAATTATTTAAAATGATTTTTACAAAACTACCTCGAGGAGCTCAAAGGCGGCCAAGATTTCTCCGGCATCCTCCTCGTCCCTCCAAAGCGGGATCCACTGCAAGGAGGGAGGGAAGTCCGGCTTCGCGTATGGCTCCTTGAGCAGCTTGACGCAGGGCTGGGTCACGGCCCTCCCCATGAACTCCGCCTTGCCCTGCGAGCGCGAGAAACCAGCCGGCGTGGCCGAGAGGAAGGAGCGGCGACTGGGTGAGCGGAGGGCACGGGTTCGATCCCGGCCGACGGCGCTCTCTTTCCCGCTTTTTATCGTCGCATTTAAAGGTGTAAAACTTTTTTGGGGGGCGAAACTTGACAGAAAGCAAGTAACTTGCGAAAAATGACCCTTCCACTCAAGTTGAAAAGGCCATATTCATCAATTTTTATTATCCAAAGCAGTTCAATATCCACTCCCCACGGATAGTTTTTGTATAAACAAATATTATGGGATAAAAGGAAGCTAAAGGGACTCACGACTTTGTCCTGATCGTAGATCTCGATGACGACGGTGGGCGGGTCGGCCTTGATGCCCTCTCCCACCCCATACACCCAGGCCAGGTCAAACACCAGCAATTCGTCCCACGTCGGACTCAGCGTCTCCTCGATTACCTGCGCACCCCCGATATTCTTTCGCATCCGACCCGCAAAATTTTCGCAAATTGTTTGGCATACCTGAGTGCTGCACCGCTGCTCGCCGAACGTGATGGTAGCGAAGGGGTCGGAGAGACCCGAAGCGTCTGACGCCAGGAGACGGCGCGCTTGGAACACGTGCGCCCGCAACTGGAACCGCTACAAACCGCAACCAGTTGCCTCAAGGGTAACTTCAGTGTGTTGCACACTTTTACTTGTAAATGATAGACGTTCTTGGATTTCAGATTAATAAGCTGCACACACAATTTAAAAAAAAAATAGAAAGTCAATTTTTCCCCGATGCAAGTTATCCCGACCGAGTTTTCACTTTCCAAGGAGGTCGAAATAGCCTCAGCGCTGCAGAGGTATTGGCGGGAACGGGCCCGAGAAGCCTTCAAATTTCCCCACAGAGGCGCGAAAACCTCCACCAATCCACTCGCGAGGACTCACGTGATGCTCGACGTAGTGGATGTAGATGGGCGGGATGGAGCCCGCGACCGAGGCCCGCTCGTACCCCTGCGGCAGACCCGCGAACGCCTCCGCCTTGTCCTTCACCTTCCCCAGCCAGAGGTACAGCGTCAGCTTCCCCGGGATCTCCCAGCTCTGCTTCCTCCCCGGATTCTGAAGAGGAGAATCGCTCCATTTCCACTTTTTTCTGAAGAGAACTCGTCAGACTGTATTTAAGGCGTTTTTCGTAGATATGTAAATTACATGTATATATGCGAGTTACAAATAGATATGTAAATTACATTCATATATGCGAATTACAAGTGGATATGTAAATCGCATGTAAATTACATGTAAATATGTAAATTTGATTTGAGGGCTCGATTTGGAGAAGTGGAACTCGAAATCATAAAGTTGGGGATGGAGGACTGGTGATTCAAAGTTTGTTTTTCTTTCCTTTATTGTCCTTCATTTTTCTTTCCTTTATTCGTCGAGGACATCTGTTCCTTCCCATGGTTCCCTGCTGGCTTTCGATCTTTTTTTCCTTTGCTAGATCCCAAGAATTTATTTAAATTCTATTAGGGCATTGGCAACCCATGCACTGAGTCCTTAGTGCTGCCATCTGCCAGTTGAAAGAAAACGAACTGTTTGCCAATTGAATCCAATGGGAAAGGATTGAATCAGAGACCCGAAGGAAGAAGGTGTGGATCCCCCCGGCGTATCTCCCGCGGAACTCCTCGTTCGGCGAATAGTAGATGTCGCGGGCTGGGATCCGCCGGTAAGCCAGCCGCTTCCCGCCGAGGATGAGCCACACGAACACGTCCGGCAGGTGTCCCTGCGGCTACAATAAAAAACATAATTAATTTAAATAAAATTCATACCGAGTCGATGAGCGCGTCGGGACTCGCCTCGTCGACCAGCGAACGCAGCTTGCCGAGGAGAAGCCGGGCGCTCCGGAGTTTCTCCGGCGTGGACCCGGATGGCCACAGGGCCTTGCATTGTCGGAGGGACGTGCACAGCAATTCCTGAAAACAATACGATATGATCAACTTTTACATATTCATATTTAATATATAATTTTTTTAATGAGTAATTTTTTATTTTCATGCATTTTTATTTTGATCAATTCCTTGCTTCTCATTTTTATTTCCATGCATTCATTTAAATTTTCATGTTTCCACGTTTCCAATTCAAATTTATTTTTTATTTACTGTTATTTACATTTTGAGTGAACTTTTTAAAAAAGAAAGCGAAAGGTCTTGAAGCACTTGCCAGCTCCCGGTGCCGAAACTCCTGGCGGTCCCTGTCGAGCGGAGTCCGGTTCATCCCGTGGTGGATGTCCGCCGAGGCCCGCCGGCTGACGGAGAGGAAGCGCTGGCACTTGCTGATCGCGTCGGCGAATGTCGTCCGGAGCTCCCGGGAGGCAAGGTCGGGGTCGGCCGTCAGCAGGGACTCAACCTCCTCGAGGGCGTCCTCCTTCGGGGAGATCATTTTAACGAGGGGTCTTGACCTTAAGGGTCGAAAATGTCCTTGACCTTAGTTTAAAGAAAGGATTTTTAAATTACTTCAAAAATGAATTGACATTTTAAAGCTTCTCCGACTCGACTCTGACCAAAAACTACGAAAGAATCCTTCGCATCAAAGATCAAAGGTCAACGGTTAAAGGTCAAGGGTGAAAGGTCAAAGGTCGATACCCACGAACTCATTCGCGATGCGATCCAGATGATTCGCGGCGTGGATCCTCGCCGACGCGTCCGGGTACTTCACCCTCATGTACATGCACGGCTTGTTCTCCCTCAAGGCGAGGAAGTACACGCTCCCGTCCTGCGTCTGCGCTCGGTACTGCGGGGTCGTCGACCGGATCCCGCCGCCGGAGATGCCCTCGCAGAGCACCTCGTCCAGCACTGCCAAAGATTAGCTAATTACTATTGCATTCATTAAATGCATATAAATATATTTAATAACAATAATTATTTATTTATATGTCAAGTAGCAAAATTACATATTTGAAGTGATTTATTTTCATACACTAATGTAATTTTATTTGTATACAGCGATTTCTTTACATAAATGAATACAATCATTGTATTAATATTTCACACAGTGTATTTCATGTAAAATGCATCCATAAAAACGTTAAGTAACCGAAAGTTTCATTAGTGAAATCAACATTTATTAATGTTTACATTTTTCCTGCCCATATGACAGTCAATCGCGAATTAGCTAATTAGCTAATGACAACTCACACCCTAACTTTCCTTTAATTTGGACTGATGGACTAATTAATTTCTCGTTAAAATATTTGAAAAACGGGAGAAAAGAAACTGGGCCGGCGGCAAAGGAGTGCAAAGGTCAAGAGGGCAACAAGGACCGTGAAGGACACTCTCCGAGGAAGAAAAAGAAAGCCGGGAGAAAGTTACTTATTGACGAAAGAAAGTTTCCCGCCTCCGCTTCCCTGATTCCTTGATTCTTCTTCGCTTTCCGCGCCTTCGTCGAACTTCCCCGGCGTTACCAGCTTCATTTCAACTTTCTGTTTCTGACAGTGTTTGGTGACGGTTTCTCTTTGCCGTTAATTAAATGAATACAATAAATTAGTTTTATTTGGGCAAAAATATATACGAAACAGAGGGCATGCGGGAATCCTGCTGAGGGTGTTTTTTTTTGCCAATAAATACTTATTTATATCATTTAATTTTTTATCGTAAAAAAATACATATACGAAAGAGAGGACATACGGGAATCCCCCTTGGACGAGAGCGGCGGGTTGAGGTTGCCCTCGATGGAATTGCCGTGATTCCCCATGCTGGTCTCGAGGAACACCGGCTTCTCGGCCACCCTCGGGTCCAGCATCGTCGCCTCGAGGATGCACACCAGCAGGAAGAACTCCTCCTGCCCGCCCAGCGAGCCCTGCGAGACCAGGGGGAGAGGGACTGAGGTCGCAGAGGGTTTTCGAATGTCGCGACGTTGTCGTTAGTCGTTCGGCTAGCAGTGTTTGCTGAAAGTCATTGAGTTGACCTAGGATGCGTGCTGAAAGTCATTGAATTGACCTACGATGCGTGCTGAAAGTCATTGAATTGACCTACGATGCGTGCTGAATGTCATTGAATTGACCTACGATGCGTGCTGAAAGTCATTGAATTGACCTACGATGCGTCCTGAAAATCATTGAATTGACCTACGATGCGTGCTGAATGTCATTGAATTGACCTACGATGCGTACGACATACGACCTACGAATTGACCTACGATGCGTAATGAAAGTCATTGAATTGACTAATGATGAGTGCTGAAAGTAATCTGTTAAGCTCAACCCTGATGACTTCATTCCTTCCTCGCCCTTTTATACCGGAACGGCAGCCTCTCTGAGCAAAAGAACAATGAGATTCCACCATATTCCTGGATTCGCGACTCAGAGACAGGGCATCTCCGCCTCAGAAGATGCAACTAACATTCTGACGAGGTGATCCTGTCGCTCTTGGATCGCTGACCGGCGGGACGCAGAATGACAACCCGTCCGAACTCTTCCCCTTTGATCGAATGGTCTAATTTATTTTCCTATTTCAGCTGTTAAAGGGCGGTGATTGCAAAGAAACCTCACAAAAGCGATTCCCATCTTGCAATGGGAAAAATCGGAGAGAAAATTTCCATTAATAAAAAAAAGTATATTTAAGGATAAACAGCCAGCTTCCTCCTGCGATTGAGAACGACATGAAGGTAAGTGCACCCTCAGCGCCCCGAACCCACCCCCCATCCTTCCACCCACCCATCCACCTCCACCCCCCTATCTCCACTCACCATTCCTCCACCCACCTCATTGAGCGGATGCACCGGTTCTACCTCCACCCTGAGCGGCTCGGCCTCCTCAACCAACTCCGTCCGTAGAGACAGCAGGAGCCTCCCCCTGTACGCGATCCCCTCCCCGGTCCCCCGGTTCAGGTGGCTCTGGTCCTCCAACAGGCTCCCGTCCCGCAGGGAGCCGTACAGGTACAGGTGACAGGGGCCCAAACTCGGCAGGAAGCCTGCAACAATTTTTAAAGTTCAGCTCATAACTTATGCTCGTTAAAATTCTCCATAAATTCAACTGTTTAAAAAAATATATTATTTCTTACAATTTTATTATATTAAATTGCATAAACGCCTTGGTATGGTAAATGCCAATAACAAAAACCTGTAATTAAATCATTATTCGAAAAATGTTTCCCGACTAGTTTCGGCCGGGTGGAGGCAAAGAAGCGGCCGAATAACTCGATTATGCTCTACGCATAATTCCCTTCCCAAACTCGGACCCATGAAATTTTGAAAAGAAGGTAATTGGTAATTGACAAGAAGGTAATTGGAACGACGTCAGGTAGTTTGGCGAGGGTAATTGAGAAGATAATTGGAACGACGGCACATTCGTCCAATCGATCTTGCGCTCTGCAAAATTCATTAACTCTGGCAAAGAGTTAATGAATTTCGTCCAGTCGGCATGGGATCTATCTCAAAGCCAATTACAGACTTCATTTGTCTCTTCCGCCGAGAAGTGTTATCGTCCAAGTACATATGTACATGTACTTGGACTTTTAATTTGCATAAATTCCGTCTATAGTGCAGGTTCTATATAACTAACATAAGCTGTACATTTAAAGTACATAATGCATACCTTACATTAAGCTCACGCACAGCCTCGTACTTATACAATATGCAACTCATGCAATTTGCCAATTGCATGCGAGGTATTCACGGAAAATTCCCGAGAAAAAATTGAGAAGGAAAAAGAAGAAATGGAGGAGAAATGGAGGAGAAATGGAGGAGAAAGGGAGGAAAAGGGTCGTCCGGGCCGACCTCGCTCGCCCTCGTTGGAGATCTGCGCGAGGTCGACGAAGTGGGTCGCGATCACCGAGTCCGAGACCGGCTGGCTGTCCTTCACGATGATCTTCATCCGCTGGCAGAGCGGGGGGAAGAGCTCGGTGACGATGATGGCCTCGTTCCAGGTCGGGTCCGTGCTGTTCTTCCGCACCGAGGTTTGGCCCTGATCGCAAAAAAAATTTGCATGATAATGGTAAAAGGGGTGGGAATTTGAGAGATCTTTGAGATGAACGCGTGCCGAAATTTAGCGTAACTCGAAAACATGCTTGAAAAAATTAGCATTGAGGCAAAATATGCGCGCGGCAAATTTGGCAAGACTTTTGGCGGTGTTTGGCAAGAAATGGCAATGTTTCTTTACCTTGTGGCCAGCGAAGGAGACCTCGACGTAGGGATTGATGAGAGGGGACGAGGAAGTGCCGAAGGCCCGTTTCATGCTATTGAGCAACGAAGGATTTGCGCGCAAAAGTCCGTCGGCTCGGTAGATTCGCACGATGAACCTCGCCCTTTGCCTCGTCGAACTCACGCCAACCGGCAATAATAAGTTCCTGGGGAGGAAGCAAATCCAATCTCAACTTGTTCCGGTGATACAAATAGTTTCAATGAATATCTGAATAAATTAAAGGAATTTGCAGAAATCGGCAAAGTTGCAACCTCACGTCCGATTCTTAAAATCGAAATTAGCAAGTTCATGCTGACTGGCTGGCAAAACATGAATTATTCATAAGCGAGAGTGCTTCGCATGTAAATGTGAAGCGCATACGTCTTGGAGAGCGTAACAACTAATTTACATATGGTAATCACTGCATCGGATGTGCAAATAGGCGGAATAGAGTTGATGAGGACGAAGAGGGACTTATGGTGCCCTACGAGTCAGAGGGAAACTCTGAACGGGACAGAAACAGAACTTTCCCGGTGAAAGGATAGGGAGCGAAGGAGGAGGGGAGGGTTGGGCGTGAAGGAGGGTTGGGAGTGAGGGAGGGTTGGGCGTGAAGAAATAAGGTAGGAATTGTGCCGGGTGGACACAAAAGGAAAGACGGATTTAAAAAATGGTTTATTCAAAGAGGAAAGAGCACAAAATAATGAAATGTGGATTGGATAATACATCAAGTTCATTTTTAGGCGCCACTTCGCGTTCTCGAACCCTTCACATGCCAAAAGTTCAATTTTTTAGACGGCGGATCCCCAATAAATAATCAAACTCTTGCGGGAAATTTAGTTCCACAAATAGACACACCTCATAAATTTCCTCTGAATGAAATCGTAATTTTTTTTCACCGACGCCATAGACGCGTAGAGCAAACGCGTTTGCGCTGTTGTGCTGCCTGTTAAACACAAAAATTGCGCTAGCGTTTGTATTTTCCCCACAACAGCGTTTTGAACTCCGACGGATACTCGAATGGGTTCGTATGGAACAACTAACCATCATGACAACAACTGTGCTACAGTTAGCCTCTTTTCTCTTCAAAATATACAGCCCGGTAGCGTTCACCAGAGCATTCCACAATCACCGAGATCGTGCCGAGCGGCTGGAATGACGTTGGGCGTGCCGCCCACCGCAGCGAGAGCACTGGATGGAGGTTCCACGCTCACACGCGCTGCTCCACGCCTCGCGTCAACAGCCTCACGTTGCTCACTGCTCGGTGCAGACATAGACTGCCTCGAAACATAGACATAGACTGCCTCCGTCCTGCAGGCGCTTCGCATCACACTTATATCAGCTGCTTAACCCTTTCGCTGCCGCGCTTGAATATACTCGAGCGCAGAGTGCCGAGCCACTAATGTTTCCTATCGCCTATGGTGTTGTAATCATATTTCAATATCTTGAATAAACACGTTACACCCAAGAATCCACCCAAGAAGAAGAATTGTGTTTTACACAGGAAACTTCCAAATCTCCTTAGCAGAGCGATGTTTCACACCTCTGATGTACAATTCATGTGCGTAAATTTACCAGCCAGTGCTGGGATTATTCTAAGAGTTTTGGGGAATTTCTTGGTTGAATTGCCCTTGGTCTTTTCATACACATTTCCCCATTGATGGAAAAAAAGTTGGTAAATTCTTAAAGTCTGGACTTTAAGAATTTACCAAATTTACCAACAATTTAGGAATTTAAGAAAAGCTGGACGCTCGAGCGCATATTTCCGTTCCCCCCACCGTCAGACCGTGAAATAAGCAGAGACGCCGAGCGACCGCCAAAACTTTTGCACCGAAAGCACAAATCCATCCGGCCTAGCCTTTGCCCTGGAGAGGCAAAAGACCTCAAGGCCAAACAGCTCGATGCGGAAAGCCAAGCAACGCTGAAAGGGTTCCACGTTCATTGGATTGTGACCATGCGAAAACGGCTGGAATGACGTTGGGCCTCCGAGCCGAAGCGAGTATCGTCGTTAAAGGTACACGCCCTGCTCTCCGCGCAACGTCAACAGCCATATATGGCTCTACAATAAATGCAGCTCTCCTATCGGCATTAATATCTTCAAGTTGCTCATCGGTCGGTGCAGACCTATGCAGCGACGCCGCCTCGGTGCGTCTCGCATGCACACGGATCACATCTCATTAAATTGTGAAACCCATCCCACCCGACCGAGGTCTGCAAAGGCTTGTAGGCCTAACATCTGCATGGACGAACCACGAAGCGCATCTAGCCTATGACATGGGAAGGAAAAGGCTCATGGGTCAATCGGATACCAAGCCTATCAGCTGGAAAAGCAAAGGCTTATAGGCCTATGGGTCACCTAGCCCCTATCCATGAGAGTCAAAAGCTTTATAGGCCAGAGGCTACACCGACCATGAAATCTCCTTAGCATATTCTAATGTAATATGGAATGGATGAACGGATGAATGGATGTCCATACCATATTGCCACCCCTGTCCTCAACGACAGCCTCGGAGTTATCGATCGGTCACCTACGGAACTCCGAGCCATCCATCGAGCGACCAGAAAACTCCCGACCGTGCATCACACCCACCATGGGAAGGCTGCCGTCGAAAGACTCATCGAACTCGAGTCCCTCTATAAGCGGACGACGTGCGAAGTCGCC